AACTAAGGAACATAGTCCTAAAACCCACATCTCAATATTTAGAATAAAAGCGGAAACATCTAAACATTGAATCAATTCATTCATATAAACGTATACACATCATTCAGTTATTTCATGCTTACAAATCATCCATCAGCAGATACATACACAGATGTATCACAAAAGAATCAAAACAAATATATCTCCAAAAAGAGCCAAAGGCTTCCTAACTACCCAGATGTTACATATCAGAGCCATCGACCAAAAATAATGAAGACCTGCTTCACAAAATGGACCTCCAGCAATCCTACTCTACAATGCTTCATAGAGCATTATAAAACAGCAGAAGGGTGAGAAACAATATCATAATAATCAATGCATATAATTATATATCTATATACATACATGGAATATACATAATTCAAGTTCCCACCATATCTCATCACCATTCATCATATACATCACAATGCATATTCACACAATCAAGCATACTCATCAAATCATGCTTCTATACATACTCATCATTTTCCACATAAACATCTACCATTATGTTCAATTCACTCAATGCATCATATAAAGATGACCAATCCAACTCATAGAGACCGACTCACGACTCTATGCAGATGCAAATGCGGTACCGACTCAATTCAGCAGATTCTCCAAGGAATCAAGTATTCAGCAGATTCTCCAAGGAATCAAATATTCATCATATTCTCCGAGGAATCGAATATTCAGCAGATTCTCCGAGGAAACAAATTACCTAACAGATTCTCCAAGGAATCATATATTACACAGATTCTCCAAGGAATCAACATCGCTAGAATGTACATCATCATGCCTTTTATGCAAGATGACTCACAACATTTCTCTACATGCATGCATATTCGCAAATATATCACTATGCATATTCATCTCATATAGGTACATACAATCTATGTACATTCATATTAATCCATCATGCATTTCCATTCAATTCAGACAAATGCATAAAATTGCCAAACGGCTACAATTTCACGGTTAAGAATCAATTTCTAGGATTCATGCCCAAAGGCTACCCACAGCTCATCACAATAGTATACAAACTACTCATATCACAAAAGATTAACATAATTGAACTAAGCAATTAATCATTGGATGGATAAAACAGAAAAGAAACAATGTTGTCCTGCTCGCCACCCTTCGCCTGGCGAAGCCATTAGCGAATGCTTGCTGGGACCTTCGCCTGGCGAACTCGCCAGCGAACAAAGTCAGTGGCTACTGACTTGCTTCGCTACCCTTCGCTGATGTACTCGCCTGGCGAACCTTCGCCACTCACCTTCGCCTGGAGAACTTGCCAGCAAAGACCACTGGGAGTTTTCTTGAATTATTCGCTAGCCATTCGCTGGGCTTCGCCCACACTCGCCTGGCGAATGCTAGCGAACCTGCGAAACCAACAAACTCCAATCTGTCCAAAACAATCAATACTCCAAAAACCGACCGATTCTCACTAAACCAGCTTCAGTAATGTTAACCCCATATCACACGACTATTTTACGATATTATTTCCAGTTTCTAACCGATTGAACTCCATTACTACCGATTAAATCCAATTTGCCCTAATATGAAAAATGGTGGAAACTCACAACAAAGCCAACCCACACATACATAACCACACACATCGATTAGATAATAATGTTTCTCACCCTTACCTCGATTAATCGGAGCTTGAAGTTGATCTTGAAGCAATCCTAGGTTTTCCTCTTCTTTCTCCTCTTTCTCTTCTCTCTTCTTTGTTTCTCTTGTTTTTCCACTAATGTTTCTATTTCTCTCTTTTTCTCTCTTATCTCATATTCTATTTTCTTTCCTCTCCATTTCCTTCCAAACACTTACCAATTAATTCTCACACAATAATACACTTAACACTTAATACTAAGTGTCTAAAATACCCTTTACTCTATTTTCCCCGAAAACTCTCCGAATCGGTAAAATAGCACAATATTGAAATTAAACATATCAACACATAAATTTCACAATTAAAATACCAATTATACAAATAAATCAAAAAGGACTCAATAAAATAATGGGAATTCAGAATTTGGGGCGTTACATTTCTCGCAAAACTCTTTGAATAATGATGTACCAAGTACACTCCCAAGAATATTCTTAGCCAAAGACACACGAATTGTACTCGAAGCTCTCAAATCTAGTTCCTCCCACTTCTCCTTTTCCATGTTATTAATGTTTTCTTTCAATGCCTTGTGTAATCCTAATTGTATCAAAACATCTTTGACTTGAGTTTTGCACAAGGAAAAATTGATTCTTCCATCAAATTTCTCTAAGTCAATCTTCACTGCTTGAAAACCTTTCCCGTAGAAAAACAAAATTTTCTCAACCAACACAGAGTATAAAAAATTTTTTCTGATGTGAAAAATCAAGCAAAACTGCAACCACAGAGCATACTAAAAAAATGTATACCCCACCATACCATGTTTCTGATACTACTCGTTGGGAAAAAACAAATCATATAGAAAAAAAGGAACACAATAACACAAGAGATTAACATGGAAACTCTAAAATCAGAGAAAAACCACTACCGTTGTCAAATGACAACCAAATAATAACATTATGTGAAAAGTGTTACAACACATAGATTACCCTAAACCACCTCAAGTCCCCAATACACTTGTATTCTCCAAAATAAATATTTAATTATCCCTCAGAACACTCTAAAACAAGAGTATATAAAAAATATAAAAAATCGAATACCAACTTAAATTGTTTTTGAGTGGTACGTCTTCTAACGTAGAACTTGAATCCTTTATATAGTTTCGAACTCCCTCTTTTTTCGTAAAACTAAGTAATGTGGGACTTCTTATATATATATATATATATATATATATATATATATATATATATATATATATATATATATATATATATATATATATATATATATATATATATATATATATATATATATATATATATATATATATATATATATTCAACCAACCCCAACATTTTGATGCTCATTTTTATTTGAACTGTCCTATCAACAACAATCATAGTTTGGTGGTGATGACTATTGATGATGTTGCATTAGAGGTGACAATTGGATCCATTAAGGCAAAATTCATCCAATCCATCTACCACATAAAAAATAAGTTAATGGATTTGATTAAATATATCTATTTATATGCATGGATCGATCTATCCAACATATTTTAAGGATCAAATGGATTACTTTTATTTTCATTAGATTTTATTTTTAAAAAGTAATTAAAAATAGATTTTTTTAAAGAAAAGAATTGATTTTATTTCCAATAAAAAATCGGAATTTTTCCAAAAAAAAAAATCGATTTTTTTTTGGAAAAAAATCAGTTTTTTTTCCACAATAAAAAATTGATTTTTTTCTATAAAAAAAGCCGATTTTTTTCCGAAACAAAAAACCAACTTTTTTTTATATAAAAAAAATTTCCCAAAAAAAAATCAATGTTTTTCAAAAATTAAAATATCAATTTTTTTTCTTGAAAATACAAAAAATTCAATTTTTTTCATGAATATATTAAAAAACAATTTGTTTTAAATACATAAAATGAATTTTTCAAAAATAAAATAAAATTGATTTTTAAAAATAAAAAAAATATAATTATTTTTTCGAAATAAAAAAAAAAGTTGGATGGATGGATATCCATCCATTAAAAACATGTTAATGGATGGATTTTATGGATTTTATTTTTAATGGATGGATTGGATTGGATAATTTAAAAAAAAAATTAGTGAATTGTTAATGGACTAATGAATTATTTTAGGAAATTTTACCCCATACCCCTACACTTATACCCACACCCCTACACTAAAAAATATTGGACCAAAATATCCTTGTTTAAATACTTATAATTTAAAAAAAATTTCACTTTCACTTCATTTGGATTTCAACACTTCCGGAGCTCTCTTTTTCCTACTACAACCCGGAACTCTTCCAACAAGTAATCCGAAACACATTTTTTGATCAACACATACCGAAACTCCAAGAGTAAGTCTTCCGGTTTGTTGATTTTTTGGTTTGTTCACCGGAAGACTTAATGTATGTCTTCCGGTTTGTAGTTTTTTTTGTTTCTTCACCGGAAGACTTAATGCAAGTCTTCCGGTTCATAAATTTTTGCTTTTGTACACCGAAAGTCTTGGATTAAGTCTTCCGGAACACACGTTTTACGTTTTGTTCACTGGAAGTCTTTGCTCAAGACTTCCGGTTCATGATTTTTTTTAATTTTTAAATTTTAATTATATTTATTTATTTATTTATTTTGTCAGTGGTGCGCACACGAGGCAGAGATGGTAGGATCCCTCGTGGACTAGGACGGGGCGAGTCATCGAGAATGACTGAAGAAGAGCATTTTGATGCATCTGCATTAGCATCCGAGCCGGTTGGATATCCAAGAGGACCGTATGATACATCTTTGTTAGTTAAGTACGAACATCATGTTGCTAGACATATATGGTTCGGTGAGGTAAGTAAACAAAAATTATTTAATATTGAATAGAATTCGAATTTTTAATATTAAATTTTATAATATATTTACTTTTAATTGTTTTCAAGAGAGAGGGTCGAAGAAAGAGTTAAAGGTAGCGGGACATGGATTGAAGTTGATTCAGAGGGTTCCACAGCTACCCAGAGAGATGGAGGGCTGGATATCTAGGTCTGGTCTAGCTTCACTCCAGAGAACGAGTTTAACAAAGATAGACATGAACCTAGTTTCCGCATTTGTAGAGAGATGGCATCTAGAGACATCTTCATTTCAAATTCCGTTTGGTGAGATAACGATTACTCTAGATGACGTATCTTGCCTGCTTCACTTGCCCATCAGGGGAGTATTCTGGGGCCCTTAAGATATCAATGAAGCGCTTGCTGTTGAGTGGGCTGTTGATTATTTAGGAGTGTCACGGAGAGTAGCACAACAACAAGTCCATGACTGCAGGGGTTCCTACTATAAGCTGGAGTGGTTATATGATCGGTTCGTAGAGCATAGAGTTGCATCTAGATGGGATATGCCACTAGAGCTTATTTGCTGATGTTAGTGGGTTCCACTATTTTTGCGGACAAGACGTCTACGCTTGTCGAGGCACGATACCTCTCACTGTTTATAGACTTGGATGGCTTATCAGGATACAGTTGGGGAGCAGCTGCGTTGGTTACTCTTTACATATATCTCATAGATGCTTCCATGTTCAGCTGTAAGCAGCTTGGTGGTTATCCGCCTCTCCTACAGGTATTTATTTTAATTTAGTATATTTTATTTTAATAAATTTTATCTAATATATTAATTTTATTTATCTAGTTTATTATGTTATAATTAATTATTTTAAATTTAATAACCATATTAATTTTGTAACAGTGTTGGATTCATGAGTATTTTCCAACGCTTGGAAAAAAAAGAGAGAACTGGATACCAGCTAGTAATGTGGGTCTCCCTCGAGCGATGAGATGGTCCTATAGGCAAGGTGCCTTGAAGGTGGATGACTTGCGACCTATTCTGGACGAGCTGACACCTTCCGATGTCATATGGCGCCCATTCGAGAATCATAGAGTATTCGTGGGTAATATAGGCATAAGTTGTTGCCAATGTTGTAGACGTCCTGCAAATCCTAGCATCCAAGATGTTGCTGCTGGAGAACGAAACTTCTTCCAATCTACTGTCACTGGTGGCAATGGAAACCCTTCCTTCCTGTTTACCTAAATAAAAAAATAATCAAAATAGTAAGTAAAAATAACGAAAAAGACTTAGGGTTAATCGCATTATCTAAAAACAACTAAGTACCTGAACCCAATGATTTCTGTTTACAAAACCAATGCAGTAAATTGCTACATTCGGTGAAAATGAAGTTGTCATAGGGAAGAAAGTCCAGCATTCAATTCCTAAACAGACAAGTACAATATTATAACAATTCGTTATCACGTAACCCATATCTGGTAGAGTTAACCATTTATGTGGTGGTTGAGGACCAAATTCCTCTATCATCAAATATTCTCTCACCACTGCTAACAGATCAGTAAATAAATTGGCATACAAACTTGATGTTTCATTATGTATTATTTCCAACCCCAAGTCTCGACGAACCATTGGCCAACCATCTTCACCAAATCCATGCAATGAAGCAATGACTCTAAATCCACAATTACCATCTGATACAACATTAACTACATCATCAATATATGACCGAATGTGATTAGGAAACTGAATGATGAACTGCTTAGATGACTGTGAAGATTGTGATAATTTCAACTTCTTCGAAGCTTGTGATGTTTGAGATTTCTTTTGTGAAGTCTGTGATAATTTCAACTTCTTCGAAGTTTGTGATGGTTGAGATTGCATCTGTGAAGATTGAGATGCATGATCAACATACTCGTGATACGAAGGGTCTCTACAAACATCATATCTTACTGGTTTTTTGTCTTTCTTCTTGACTCCCCCTTTAATTTTTATTTTCTCAAGTGGTGGACACATAGAAGTCATTGTGGGGAAGGCAAGTTCAAAAACCCTACTTTTTAATACCCTTTTCCCAACAACATCCAGTGACTTAAACCTTTTCCATAACTCATCTATTGCACTACTCATATCCACCTCTGATCCATCATTTACGTCTTCACCCAACTTAACTTCCATACTTAGTTTTCTCCAATGAACATGCACAACGTCTATTGGTATCGGTATACCATCAATTCTATATCCCATCAACTCACAAGCACAAGGTAATATGTAGGTTGTTCTAAGAGTACAATGACATATTTTCTTATTAGTTCCAACATAATCAACTCGTTTTAACTATTCAGCAATGCGTCTCAATGCATCTCGAGAAACTGAACCATTAATGGACTTACGTGGGCGTGCTCAACTTCATAAAAACTCTTTTGAAAAGAAGCTCTAATATTACCCAATTGTAACTTTAAGTTGTCATTCATAGCCTCCCAACATTTGACCATGTCACCAATACTGTTTCCCAACATTTGCTTTAACTTCCAATGAGCAGACTCAATCCTAAAATTAATAAATATTAAAAATATTTTAAAAAAAATTCAAAAGAAATATACAATTTAGAAATACTAAAAATAAATACATACCGATTAGTCGTGGTGTTACCCAAATGTAGCACTCGATTAATCCATGCTTCAACAAATCTTTGTCTATGTGGTGTCACCCATGTGTCCTTCACATAATCAATAAATTCATTACAATCAACACACGCCTGCTCAAGTTGGTTCAACCTTTGATCATACTCAACCTCATCACTAGCCCATGCAACATCCGTCCATAATTCGTCAATTTTCTTTTGCATGTCACTAGCCACATATTGTTTCCGTTTTGCACCAACATTCTTGTTAATATGAAATCGACATAACATATTGATCGACCTTGGAAACATAATTTCAATGGCTTTCATCAAAGGAAGATCTCTATCTGTCAAAATCACTTGTGGACACAACTCTTTTTTCACAAACAATTGTTTAAGCTTATCTAGCACCCAACAAAAAGTCTCAGTCTGCTTAGACTCAATATAGACAAATGCGACAGCAAAAGTCAACTCGGTTGATGTCATGCCAATAATTTCAAACAGAAGTTGCCTATATTTGTTTGTCTTGTAAGTGTTGTCCATAACTAGCACAATAGGAAAAATATTCAACAACTTAACTGAATCTGGATGAGCCCAAAAGATATCTCTAATAACTTCAGAGTCATCTCTTTTTCTACTCCAATAAACATAACCTGCTTTCTCAATAAGCTTAAACAAATGTTGTATCTCACTTCTAGGACCTCTTATATTTTTTTCTATCATACTCTTCTGCTTGTATATTTGCGTGATCCGAGTGACATTATCTGGATCTTGCTCTTGCAATGAAAGCAAAATATGTCTAGGTGGAACCTTTCTCTTTGTCAAATCAACAACATGTTGCTTCTGATCCGCTGTCAACCTACCAACAAATGGGTGACCTTCTAATCTATCCGGTAAATCATGGTTATGAACTCCACATTTTACATCAATCTTCCATCCAGATCCATCAGTCGCTGGAATTGATCTGATTCTAAATGGACATCCACATTTTTTCGTCGTACTCTGGGTTCCACTATCAATATCTTTGTGTTTTCCTCCTTTATCACATCCAAATATTAATTTGTTACTTCTTCCTCTCTTGCTTGTTTCAATATCTGAACGAGTGATGATAACCGTAACTTTATTTCGGATTCAGATCTCTTTAATCCATCTTATTACCTCTTCTCGTGTACCAAATCTTTGAGGAGTTGAAAAAACATCAGACGTATCTACCATATCTGATCTTTATCGCATATTTGTAAAGAAATTTCTGAACTTGCATAAAATAAGATTTTAAAAAAAGTTTAAAAAATTTTTTTAAAAAAAATGGACAATACAAACCGGAAGACTCGTGAAAAGAGTTCCGGTAGCCAAAATATGCGCACCGGAAGACTTGTAAAAAGTATTTCGGTACACTTTTTACAAGTACCGGAACTCTTACGAAAAGTGTTCCGATGAACATCACGAAAAAACGTAAACCGGAAGTCTTTCATAAAGTCTTCCGGTTTGAGAAAAAAAGTATACCGGAAGTCATTTTGAAAGTGTTCCGGTAAACTCGTGTGTTGAATTACTCGAAAGACTAAAAAAATCTGACATTGTAAAAAGTAAAAAAAAAAATATAATAAAAAAAACATAGGGATAAAATTGATATTTTTTTAAAATTGTAGGGGTATGGATATAAATACAGGGGTATGGGGTAAAATATTCATTATTTTAATTCATTTATTAACAATCTCATCCATATTAATCCAATCCATCCATTTTGTCATCCCTATACTGCATGATGGTCATGTAAAATTGATGAGTGCACCCTGTTTTGTTGTTATGTGTTATCAAATAGATGTGTTTTGTAACTTTCTACAAGACATGACGAGTTCATTAGGTCAATGTCCTTCTCTTACCATAATTCTCTTTGAATTTAATTTCAACTTTATAATTGTACCCTTCTTCATTTTGTATAAATCAGACTTGTGTATAAGGTTGCATTATATCAGAACCTCTTTTCAATAACTAAATAATGCATCTTCCCTTTTGGAAGTAAATACACATAAACTTCTCATCACTTACCATAATGCATATTCCCTATTTCAGTTTCCATAAAAAAATATTAATTGTAATCATATATAACATTATTTACTTATAATCAAGTTTATTTAATTTCTTATACAAGCTTCTATAATCAAACTTCATAATAGTTATATATATCTTACTCTCAATTTTATTTCATAATAATAGTTGTGTCATTGTCAAGAAACACAAATAACATGGTGTTCACAGCAATCACTTTATTTTCTCAATAACTTTAATACAACAATATTGGAAAACTAAAGAAGGGCTATTAGTGCAATCATTGGAGTATCTCAATAACAAGATTATAAAACATGTTCAGAATAACAAAATTAATCGCACAACATATGCTTCACAAATTGGTCTATATATAACAGAGAACTTTGAACTCTTTTTTTCTCATCCACTGCTACCTTTCTTCAACAAAGTTGCACATGATTCTATTGGAGATGCTTAGAAAAACTTTTCCTGTGGAAATTACAAAGTCATCAAAGAACATGCTTGAGTTTATGTGAAATAAATAAGTCATATGTTTGAGCAACTTTAAAATAATATGAAAAGTAACACATTATATAAGATATTCATATGTCTTAATAAATCATGAATTTTCATCCTTTTAATACAATATATGTAAGCTAGAGTGTAAGAGGGAAAAGGAAAAGGTTACCCGCAAATCTCTAAGCCACCTTTGAAATTTAATTCCATTCAACACCATAAACACATAGATTGTGTCAACTATGGTGTTCAAGAACAACATATATTTATGTCTCCAAGTCCTGATGAGAAACAATGATCCCCAAAGTCCCCAAAATCCTGTCATAAATCCCAATGTCACACTCAAATAAATTGGTTTTTTATCTTCTGGTTTACTTTCTTCATATGTTTCAGGTTTTTGATGTGCAATTTCTTCATCCCCAGGACATTTTTTATCAAGCGGTTTCCCACAAAGATCAACATTTCCCTCATAACTTGACGCATTGAAACTCTGCAATTGCGTGCTGATTGGAATTCTTCCAGACAGGTTGTTATCTGATAGATCCAGCATGGTCAGACGAACAATTTGAGTTAGAGAAGAAGGAATTAAACCATAGAAATGATTTCTTGACAGGTCAAGAAATTCAAGTGATGTTAATCTTCCAATCTCTGAAGTAATTTCTCCGGTCAAATTGTTATTTGATAAATTCAACGAAACCAATTCTATCAAGTTTCCTATTTCTTCTGGAATGTCTCCGGTCAATTGATTGCTTGAAAGATCAATACTCCTCAAAATAAGCTTATTATTCTTGAATGGCCGCTCTGCACCTTTCCACATCAACAATGCATTCAAATCAAACCCTAAACTATTATCTCTATCTTCAACTGTGTGATATAAAACCCATTCATAGGTACTCCACGAAACATTTTGAGACATTGCGGAAAAATTCTTCAAGCATTTTAAAATTTGTCCCGATAGATTGTTTTCTGAGAGATCCAACAGCTGAATGTTTGTTAAGAAACAGAGACTCTCAGGAAGAATTCCATAGAATCGATTCCTTCGTAGGCTCAACATTTGCAATGGTTGTCCTAACCCCGGTATTGGTCCCGAGAATTTATTATCTCCAACATCTAGCATGATTAGTTCTGTGCAATATTTCAAGGAGAAAGGCAACTTCCCAGTGAAGCTATTGTTTCGCAATATCAATACCATAAGATTAAGTAATGATCCCATTGAGGAAGGAACTTCACCTGAGAGAGTATTTTCACTCAAATCTAGAAACATCAATTCTTTCGGATTGCTCCAGCAATCAGGAAGCTGCCCTGATAATTGATTCTTTGATATGTCTAATGTCCACAATGTATCAGATGCAGTGTTAACACATAAGAACAAAGGAGTTTCAGAAAATTTATTCTCCGACAACAGAAGCACTGATGCACTGCGAAAAAACAGAGGGATTAAACCTTCAAATTTATTTGATTCCAGAATTACTTGACAGCCTTCAGAAATTCTTGTGGGCAAATTTGGAATTGTGCCAGTGAAATTATTGTATGAAATATTCATGAGACTTAGATGCATTGCTTGAGTAGTCCAAAACCACAGTGGAATTACACCTGAAATTCTAGCATTAGAAATGTCCAGCTTTTGAAGATGTTTTTGACTCTGCAACCATTTTGGAAAACTAGTCCCAAACATACAAGACCTTAAATATAAGGTATACAGTTGAAAACTTGGCACCCAATTTTCACTGAATATCGCTGACAATGAATTGTCATTCAAGTTTAAAACCTTTAACATGGACATGTTGTCAAAGTGAGTGTCAGTGATCTGACCTTCTAAAATGTTGCCTTCAAAGTCCAAACTCTGTAAAGATGAGAATCCTGCCATGTTGGGTACTATGCCACTAATTTTGTTTCTTGCCAAATTTAATTCTTGCAGGGAGTACTTTGCACAACCAGATAAATTATCAAGTATCACTGAAAGATCTTCACTCACCTTGTTCCTTGAAAGGTCAAGCGACTTTAACGAACATAGGTTACCAAATGATTTTGGAATTCCGCCTTCTAAAGAATTTGATGGAAATATCAAAGACTCCATTGATTTTGGAATTTCATTTGGAACCTTCCCACTTAACATATTATATGAAAGGTCGATTGTTACTAGAGATGGGAATATTGAAAGATCAGGCAATCTTCCGGTAATTTGGTTGAAAACTAAACTCAAATGTTGCAGTGAGTATCTTGCACAGCCCGACAATTTATGTAGAATAGTTGAAATGTCATCATTCAAATTGTTATTGTCAAGATTCAATGAGTGTAACGTGCATATATGTCTAATAGATTCTGGTATTCTACCTTTTAGTTCATTTCCGGACAAGTCAAGATGTTCAAGAGGACTTTTGATGTTGCCAAAATCATATGAAATGGTGTCATTGAAGCTGTTATAGCTAAGATCAAGGTCAATTAAGTTAGAGGTGGCATTAAACACCCATTCAAATATTTTGGATGATGAAAAGGTATTATGAGAAAGATCAAGGATTGCAAGAGAAGTAGAAAAATTGAATAGTGAACGAGACAGAGATTGAAGATAAGGATCTGAAAGAGCACAGTCAGAGAGCTCCAATTCTTGTATTTTAGGAAGCTTAGCAATCATTTGCAGCCAGACATGAGAAGAATTGAGACTGGGTGTATAACTCAAGTCAAGATGGGTTAAAAGAGTGAGATTAGAAAGCCACTGACCTCCAGCATGATTATTCTTGTCATCAAATTTGAGTCCATCATTGGACCCAAGATGAAGCTCCTGCAACTTTGAAAGACCTCCAAGTTGATGAGGAATGGTTCCAATAAGATCATTCCCTGAAAGACCAAGGTACTGCAGATGAGAGAGATTTCCAAGTTGATGAGGGATTGTGCCGTGCAGGTAATTGAACGAAAGATCAAGATATTGCAAGTGTGAAAGATGAGCAAGATCATTTGGAGTTGTTCCCCCGAAAAATGAACTTTGGAGGTCAAGGAATCTCAAGTTGGTAAGTGAACCAAATAATTCTGAAAAAATACTGTCTGAAAACCGATTCCCACTGGTGTTCAAATACTTTAAGTGTCTCAACTCCATCAATGATGCGTTGATCTTGCCTGGAAAACGCCCAAACTGAGAAGGGCTTAGATGAAACATTTCAACATGTCCAGTATGATTGTTACAGCGGATTCCTTCCCATGCACAGCAATCGTCACTCTTAGTGTCCCATGTAGTCAACAAGAAAGAGTCATCATCCAACACAAGGCTGGCTTTCAACTGAAGGAGAGCGTATCTCTCATTCTCTAAGCAACCAAGAGCACCATTCACAAACAACTGCAACACCACAACAAAGAGTACTGCAACTAACTTGAGAATACTCATTATATTCATTTTTTCTCTGCCAAAGGAATAAAACTCAGTTTCTTATTATAATAACTTCTCACACTCAGAATAAACAAAAATAAGACAAAATGGAAAGACTTGACTTATCAGTATGACTTGGAATTGTTCTCATTTTGGTGTGTGGTGCAAACTTTTTCTCTCATGTGGAAAAAACGCACATCATCATTGCGGATGCATTAATGACATTTCAAAAACACTGTTCCAAATTTAAGAATGAAAACATATGTTCTCATACTTTATTATTTGTAAAATAAATATAAGAATGAAAACATATGTTATCATGTGTCCAAATCTGAAAGATTAATCTCTTAGAAAAAATTTGTGTTCCAGTTTATTTGAAAAAAAAAACTATTTGAATTTTAGAATTCTTTTCCTATATTTAAATTAAGCTTTACACAAAATATAAATCAAAATAATTATAACTATTATAATGAAATTTAAATCAAACTGCTATGTTCTTTTTGCATTCCTATATTTTCTTCCAACATTCTACTAATGTAAATAACACATTCATATTTCAATTTAATATGAATAATTTTTTTATTTATATTATTTAATTAATACTAATACTATAATAGCATCTCTCATGATAATATCTTGTACTTCACAAACAATCAAACAAATAATTCTCTGTCATTTTTCATCTTTCTTCTACACGAATTTTTTATTTATAGTATTAGATATCATTATTTTCTTCCGTCACATTTTATAACATTTTTAGATATTATAATTTGTTATTACTTTTCTTTAATTTGGTCAAAGTTGGAATTTTGTTATATTATTGATAAGTGCTTTTATTTTTGAGTTTGTTTGCTTCCTGCAAATTGGAGATTCTTAGAATTAGTATTAAAGAAAAATACTTGTATATGACTCTAATTTTTTTTACAGTTATGGTAAAACAAGATTGAACTAATGATATTTATACTCCCTTATTCTCACATCGTAAGCTTTAATTCAAATTGGGCAATAGTGATCTCTTATCTAATGAATTGGTATTCGTGACAATCACCTATTTATTGCTCCCAATTACATTCAACAATCACCTATTTATAACATTGGTATCAAGCAATTACTCACTATGTAGATCTTTCTAAAGAACAATGACTCCTCAATCTTGTGAATGTTCTTTTTAGATATGAATCTCTTTTGTATTTTAGGGAAATCAACTGCACCCGAAGGTTTTTGGATGCAACTTGTCATTTTACCAAAGAACAACAACATATCAAAAAAATTATGTAACTATTTTAAGATGAAAAATCAAAGGCTAATGATGTAATCCCTGGCAACAACGACAAAGTTTATTGCTTAGTTATGTGTGTGTAAGTATACACAATCAATCTAGTAGGAAGTGTAAGAAAAGTATTGATTTCACAAGGATAGGATTAAATTTTTTATAAATCATTCTAAACCTTGTAAAATAATGCATGAGATGTGGTAGCACAAACAGTGTATGTCACCTAGTTGGAATTATGAAAGCATAATGAAAAAACAAAGACTCAAAATAGAGAATGAAAATATGTTGGACAATGAACCATTACATGAAGTCATCCAATGTTTGTACATGGCACGTGGTGTCGTGTTAAATGAGGGTAGAGTTAAGGTTTATGGTATTTGTCAACATCATGAAAATATGTAGTAAGTAATTATTGAGCTTATACCATGGACACACAATAACACCAGTACACTTCAAGCAAAACATGTTATGTTTACCCCTATGGCCTTAATCCTTTATACATAAATTAACTAAGTAAGCAATGTATGTCTACTCGCTATTTTACCACACTAGTTCTTGAATCATTTATTAAATGCTAATATAACCTAACAAACTTGTATCTAACTATATGGTGATCTAACTCAGAACTAAACATATGAAATTAAATCACAAGAACTAATCATACCATACCATCACATTCATTAACAATAAAAAAGAATATTGTTACATGAAATTTCACATTATCCACAATGCAAGATTTAGCTCATAATGAGCAAAGCAAACACAACAATCTAAGATCCTAATTTACACATTCCTAAATAATGAGAATGGAAATGATAAACCTAAAAAAGTACTCAAATCTCTTTCAATATTTCAATTGTAAATGACCTTTAGTGTTGTACCTCTCAACGTTGGATTCCTTCATAACTACTTTGGGAAAGAAATGGATATGGGAGCTCTGGTTCTTCTTCTTCTGATTTACAAACTCCTCTAACCTTCCAATACATGTTCTATATAGTAAGGTTTCTCATGTTGTAAAAAGTCCTTATTTTTCATTTCTTGGTCACTCTAAAATGATCTATAAACATTTTTCAAGAATAAAGCATCTTATCTTTGATAGTACATGTACTAGGACAATACAAGTGTTCCGGATTGGCCCAATGACTAGGCATGACCCAATCTACTTCTACTCTCAGAACGGTCCAATTGTCTAAGTCCAACCAAAATGTGGGAGCATTTACCTTTCTGCCCCTCCACCAGGGGAGGTTGACCGGTTTACCCCTGGGCCAGCACTTCTCCTCGTCAGTCTTTGCCTGTCACGCACGGTCCCACCATCCAGAAACAATCGGGACGCTTGTGCCCGTTACTGCACCTCTGCCCGTAGCAACGGCTAGTTATGAGCATCTTTGTCCGTCTCAACGGCTAGTTTCTGGAAGTTACCTATTCTTCGGGAAAGAACTATCTCGCCCCGAAAATAGGGATTAATGGCCAAGCGCTGGGGGCACTATAAAAACCCTCTCATTTGATAGGGTCAGGTTTTCAATATTCACCTTGATACACACATATTATGTACTTGCCTTCTTTCTCTCAATTCTTACTTTAGCATCGGAGTGCCTTGCAGGTACACCCCTCACCTCCTCTTTCACATCCAGCATCATAAACGATTGTCTCTAACCCACTTCAGGTTCTGATCAACCGTCAAGATCAGTGGCGCCGTATGTGGGAACTCTGTTATCCCCGTCTTTCTTCCATCATAGATTTGAGACCAAAACAGTTCTTCCAAACTCCGATCATGGATAGCCGTAACAACACTCATGATGCTCGCAACTCTGCCTTCCTCCCCGTCAGCAAAACTGATATTGACGGAGCAACCACCTCTCGTGGGAGCGACACCCACCAACAAAGGGACGGAGCCACCGCTTCTCCCTATCCCGTTCGCGTTGATCACAATAAGATCCAACTCATCCAGAAGCACCTGTCAGTTCCAGTTACACCCAGCGCCGACCCAACCATGGCGGCTCTCCTCGGGGCTCTCAACAAGATCAACCTCTTAATCCTCCATTAGAACACGAGGATTGGAGCCCTAGAAGATTCTAGTCATCCAAGATCCCATCCTCCGAGGAAAGAGCGTCAGAGATCACGAAGTTCTCCTCCCCGTCGTGCAAGAAGTCGTCGGGCTCCTCCAAATTCAGAAACCCAAACTATCAGAAAGAGCAACCATATCTCTCTTAAGAAGCAGCATTCCCCGTGACCCAAGAGGACCAGAAGGGATCAACAAGCAGAGTCCCAGCGTTCGCCGTCGCCCAGACCAAAGGGCCGAGCACGAACCTCATCTCCCTGTCGAGATTACCATCCTACCTATAGACGCGGCACCCGCTCCTCGTCATGGTCCAGCAGCAGCAGCAACGACGAGCCTCGCAGCCTGTTGTCCCAGGAGATTATGGTTATGCGTCTACCGAAGGGACTAGAGAAACCCCATTCTCTGGGCATGTACGATGGTACTACGGACCCTGACGAGCACATTGTAGATTGTTCCCGACCACGCTCAGAAAGGGAGCAATGACTTGGTACAAAAGACTCCCCGACGATTCCGTTACATCATGGAGAGAATTAGGAAGAATGTTCTCCAGACACTTCACGGCCTCTCGCTTACACCTAAAGACAGAAGCTTCCCTTGAGGCCATCATTCAAGGGAAGGACGAACCCCTTCGAGCCTATATCGAAAGGTTCAACAAGGATGTTATCCAGGTCTCCAAGACAGGCGACATGAAGAAATTTATGCTCGAGCAAGGGCTCCGTCCCCATACTGAATTTTCCAAAGTTATGGGCATTCAGCCCCCAACGAAGCTGGACGCTTTCCTCCTAAAAGCACAAGCGTACATCCAGTACAAAGATAAGGAGGCCGTCAGTTCTTCCCGGGGTTCGAGGCATCAGGAGAGCGACCGATCCTCTAAGCCCGACGAACCCTTGACATCTCATCGAGGAGATAGAAGACGCGAAGACCGGCTCCGGGAGCCCCGGGACAACAAAGGGTCTTCCGGCCGATTCCATAAGTATACTCCCCTGATGAACTCTCGAGAAAAGATCCACTTCGAATGTGCCAACTCAGAATGCCAGCAAGCGGGAGTCTGGTTCGCTAAACAAATACCATTCAAGCCAAACACTGACAAGTCGAAATATTGTCGGTTCCACAAGAGCCACGGCCATATGACCGACGACATCATCTACCTGAAGGATGCTATAGAGATACTCATCAGGAACGAACATTTAAATCAGTTCTCCAAAAGGAAGGATGCTTCTCGCCAAGATTCCCAAGAGTCTAAGAAGGTCGAGGAAGATGTGCCTTCCTCGGAAGAAACTAGCCTTCAGGTCGCTATGAGCATCTCGCAGACTAAGGACTTCTACATCCCCTAGGGGCTCAGCGCCCCTCCATATTTCTCCGCACACAGCCCGTGGGAGACCTTCCCCTCCTCCAAAGGGCTGAACATCATCGTTGTCAGGCCAAAGACTCCCACCAGCTCATCTCTGCCCAACAGTGCTAAAGAGAAAAAGTTGTTGCCTCGCGTAGACTCCATTGACCTGGACAACCGTTTCCTCGAAGAAGACCAGAGGACTCAGAAAGTAAAGGGGAATGAGATTCATCCATCTTCGAGCAGCTCCTTTATATCTACCAGTAGCAGCGAAACTTTCCATCTGATACGCCTAATTCCGGATGGAGAGTTCGAACTTGTCTTGCTTGGTGATAACCACCAGCGAGGAGTGAAGATTGGGATCG